GTTCGACTGTGTTTCTCCATTGCTGTGACAAAATAATTTGACCAATACCAACTTGGGGAGGAAAGGGCTTATTTGTCTTACATCTCCTGGGTTACAGTTCATCACTAAGGGAGCCCAGGGTAGGAACTCTGGGGTAGGAACCTGGAGGCAGAAGCTGATGCATAGGCCGTGGAGGAACACTGCTTACTGGCTTGCTTTCCTGGCCCCTGCTCAGCCTGCTTTCTTATGCAACACAGACCCACCAGCCAAGGGTGGCACCACCCACAGTGGGCTGGGCCCTCTCACATCACTCAGTAATCAAGAAGATGCCCTACAGACAATGGCCACGGGCCAGTCCAATGGAGGCAATTCCCCAATTGAGGCTCCTTCAACCTAGGTGTGTCAAGTTGACACTAAAGCTATCCAGTGTAGGGACACCAAGGTAGGTGGTTCTTTAGGGTATTAGAAGAGTTGTTAACACAGTAGACAGCAGCAGGGATGAGCTCTGGGGAGAGCGAAGGCCCATTCGGCAGAGTGGGAACCCCTTCTTACAAGTTTTAGAGGAAGGGGGAAGGTTCTATGCCACGTGATTGATGAGTAGCCCGTGCCTGTAGTCAGACTGTCTCTGAGTCAGCTTTGGGAATCTAGTAAAACAGTCACTTTAGTTCTAAGAAATGACTGATGTTTGGGGAATCATCTCAGTTTAACTACAATGGAGGCACTACAAATGGCACTGCCCTGACTAACACTTCCCATCTTTGGCTTCCCTTACTTGTGGCCGTTACCTGTGTTTGGTTTCCCCAAGAAAGGTCTTTTCTGAAGGGATCTAGGTACGTGGGGCCCAAATAGCTGCCCTGGAACTTAGCTCCTTTCCATATTAGGATAAGCCTGGGCAGTGAAGGTGAACAGACAGGAAGGTGCTGCTCTATAACAGGAATGCTTCATCTAGGCGCATCGTTCTTTGGCCAGATTCCCAGACCTCAGCCCAGAGTCACTCATTCTGAACTGTCACTCGTTCTTGTGTGCTGGGAACAGACATGGGACATTGGCACTGGTGGAGCATGCTGTCCCTTGGAGCTTATCACATCGGCTCCCTGCACTATGCAGGTCCTGGTCCCACCCCCTGTTCACTGTGCCCTTCAGGCTGTCACATTCAGAGTGCTTCCAGCCAGCCCAAGCCCGCCTCTATTTGAGATTTGACTGACATGTTTTATCTCCTCTCCGTGTCTCAGTCTTTCCCTGTCCTCTGTTTCTTCCTCCTGCCCCACTAGGGGAGTCCCTCTAGAGCATCCTGTTTTAGTCCTGTGTTAACTGAGCTGATAGGAAGGCCCACCACTCTTTTCCCATGAGCGCCTGTCACCTGAAATTTGGAGTTGTCCTCCTGCAGATGTGCTCCTAGCCCCTGGCTCTGGCTTCTACCTGTGGCCTTTAAGACTCTAATTCAGATGCTGATATTCATTCTTTCTTAGTGGTCCTCCTTGGATCTGCCATCAGCCCTCTGTCAGGTGACTCCCTGCTCTGCCTCCTCCTCTTTGCCCTTTATATCCTAGCCAAGCGCCAGTGGAGGCGGGATTCCCCATCAAAGGATGATAGCAGCCATTTGTGTTGCTGTTGAATGCTTTTGTCATCTTTGAAGCCCTCAAAACAAGGGTGGGGACCAAGTGCTGCAGCTGGGCCTAACACACGTGTTGTTTCCCGTCTCATGCCCTTGTATCCCCCCTCCTACCGGCCACCCCATGCCAGAGAGTGCCTGCCTCTGAAACTCTTAGCTGCAGGGATCTCTTGTCCTTGTGGGGCTGTGGCCGTCCTATATAGTGAGTGCACTGCCGTGTTGTTGAGAGCCCAACCCTGAACTTCAATCCACTAGGACTGAATCTTAATCCATTGTTGTGCTTTGAGAATAATGGAGCTGGTTGGATTTGTATTCAAGTCTTGTTTGTTCTTCATCTAGGGGGTCTGGGCCAGCTGGGAGTAGGGCTTGCTGGCCTTCTGAGGTAAGAACTTTAAAACCTGAATTGTAAAATTCAAGCTCTTTTTTCAAAAAAGAATTATTTTCGGTGTATGAGTGTTTTGTCTTCATGTATATAAGTGTACCCGTGTCATGCAGTGCCCACAGATGGCCAGTAGGGGGTGCTGGATCCCCTGGAACTGGAGTTACAGATGGTTGTCAGCTGCCATGTGGGTGCTAGGAACTGAACCTAGGTCCTCTGCAAGAGTAGCCAGTGCTCTTAACTGCTGGGCCATCTTTCCAGCTCCAAAATCCAAGTTCCTAAGAATTTGTAGCTTTTTGTCTTTGCCATGTTAACCACTTGTTCTCTCTCCTTGTGCCCCTGACTGCTTAAGATGTCTCATCTAAGTAACTGCTTAAAATACATTTGGTTTGCTGGGTGTGGTGGCGCACGCCTTTAATCCCAGCACTGGGGAGGCAGAGGCAGGCGAAGCCCTGTGAGTTCAAGGCCAGCCTGGTCTACATAGTGAGTTCAGGCTAGCTGGGGCTACAGGGAGACTCTGTCTCAAAAACAAAATAAAACAAAACAAAAATACATTCGCTTTGCCTCTTTCTCACGGGTCCCTGACACAATGTCTCCCCACTGACCCTTTGCACTCCCTTTTCTAACTTGGGTATAGTGAGACTCTCCACCCTAGATGAACCACTTGCCTTTCACTTGCTTGGGGGCAGTGGGCAGGGGCAGTGCTTGTAGGCTCTGTGAGGGAACAGGAGCAGTGAGGGTTGGTGAGGGAGAGTGGATAAAGGATGAGAAGGAGAGGTGGAAGTCCTAGGAATACTGAGATGACACTGGTGACCAGTGGGGCGAGAGCAGGCTGCAGGATGAAGAGGCCGTCTGGGCTTAGGGAGGCAGGAGCTGAGGGGTGTGACCATGGTGAGGAGGAAGAAGGGGATGAGGTGCCTGGAAACCGCAGTGCCTATTTGCAAAGATGGCTTTTCTAGGGCTCGTGTCCTTGACATTGCTGACTTGTGTGTGTGGCCTTTCTTTCTCATCAGGAAACGATTTGGGAGGGACAGTGTGATTTTATCAGACATAAGGAAGCCCCCTGCTCATGTCTTCTGCAGTGGTAAGAGACGATAGTCCTCCATGTTTTTTACTTTACAAAGTGAAATCAAAGAGGCAGCTCATGAGTCTGTGTGAATCAAAGAGAGCGCAATCAGGCACAGTCCTGTGCTTAAAGAATATATCGGTCTTTTTGAGACAGGGTCTCCCCATAACCCCAACTAGCCTGGAACTCACTATGTAGACCAGGCTGGCCTTGAACTCACAGAGTTCCGCTTGCCTCTGCCTCCTGAGTGGAGTGCTGGGACTACAGGTGTACGCCACCACGCCTGGCACTTGAACATTTTTAGTGCTGGCACTGTTCAGATGGCAAGGAATCAGAGAGTGCTGTGCAACTTAAGTTTTGGAACAATGTATTTTGATATTATTTGCAATATTGTCTTTGAAGTAAGAAATTGGATTCTTGGCTTTTGAGTGTTTAGTGATCTTACTAGCTTGTGAAGGCCACAAACAAAAAAATCAAGTTCTGTGGTGAGGAAAAGGAGCTTTAAGAGTCTGGGGAAGGCCAGGCTGGATGGAACATGACTGTAAGCCAAGCACTCAGAAGGTTGGGATAGAAGCTACATAGCAAGATTCTGGAGGGAGGGAGGGAGGGAGGGAGGGGGAAGGGGGAGAGAAGGAAGGAGAGAAAGAGGGAGAGAGGGAGGGAGAAAGAGACGGAGGGAGGAAAGTATAAAGAGAGAGTGATGTCTTTTCTAGTCAGTGTGTCAGTGTCGGGAACCCACTTAGCCCGTGAACCCCGGCCCTTTACACTCTGCTCTCTGCAGGCCCATTTATTTATGCTGATATCTTGGATTATAAGAAGCTCCACGAGATCGTGGTAAACCACCGCATCACCTGGCTGTTCCACTACAGTGCTCTGCTAAGTGCTGTTGGAGAAGCAAATGTACCCCTGGCCAAAGCTGTGAATATAACGGGTGAGCAGCTGGCTTAGCCTAGCAGGGCCAGTTCCCAGCCTTTTGGAAGAAGAAGTTTACTTTTATTTTCAGATTTTCATAGTGCTTGTTCATTTCAGGATTGCATAACATTCTGGAAGTTGCAGCGAAATACAATGTGAGGCTGTTTGTGCCCAGCACCATTGGGGCTTTTGGACCTACCTCTCCTCGGAACCATACACCTGATTTCAGTATTCAAAGACCCAGAACCATCTACGGGGTGTCCAAGGTCCATGCAGAGCTCATGGGAGAAGTAAGCTTTGCTCAGTGAGATTGCTGAGTATTCAGGGCCAGATGATTCTGTGTGTCCTGTCCCATCTTTCTGCTTCAGACACCTGCTGCTTCATCTTGGGAGCCTTTAGCCCACTCCTCAGACCAGCACCCAAAGATGCCTACTTAGCAGGTGTGCTTGCCAAGGAGCAGGCTCTGTAGCTCTCAAGGAGCTCCTCAGTCCCAAGGTGCCGCTTGCCCACAGCCATGGTAACACTTCTGGATGCTCTGGTCCTGAACTTGCTCTTATCCTGTGCTCGCTGCCCATCTTGTTTGTGAGGCACCATTTCTTTGGGCTCTCAGCACTGGGCGTTCTGGTGAGAGTGTTAAAATCTTCTTTTTCTGTGTGTGTGCATGTGGGGGAGTGGGGGGAGTGTGCACGTGTGCACATGTGTGTGGAGGTCAAGATGGATGTTTTCCTCAATTACTCCACACCTTATTTTTTAACATTTTATTATTTTTTATGTGTATGAGTGTATTGTCTACATGTGCATAAGTGCACCTGTGTTGTGAAATGCCTGTGGAAGTCAGAAGAGGGTGTTGGATCCCCTGGAGCTGGAGTTACGGATGGTTGTTAGCCATCATCTGGGTGCTGAGAATCAGCAATGCTGTTAAATCTTGAGCTATCTCTGCAGCCTTCCCTCCACCTTATTTTCCGAGCCAGGGTCTCTCACTAGCATCTGAAGCAAATAGGGGAGTAGGTGAGGCTGCTGGGTGCTGAGCCCCAGTGATCCTGTCTCCAGCTCCTCTGTACTGGGATTGTAGGCTCGTGCTGTGCCCCTCTTTATCATTGCAGTATTGACTGAGCACTGAAATGGAGGTTCTTTGAAGATAAGTGACTGAGTAAAGACAAACGAAAGATTGGAATTTAAAGAATCTTCATTTAATTTTAGTTTTTTAAGATTTGTTATTTTTAAAGGCTGGGTGTGGTGGTACATGCCTTTAATCTCAGTACCTGAGAGGCAAAGGCAGGCAGATCTCTGTGAGTTCAAAGCCAGCCTGGTCTATATAGTGAGTTCCAGACCAGCCAGGGCTACATAGTGTGACCCTGTCTTAAACAAACAAACAAATAATGGTTTTTTAAAAAAGATTATTTTTATGGGTGTGTTTTGCCTGCACCACATGCAGGCAGTGCCCATAGAGGCCACAAAAGGGCATCAGATACACTGCAACTGGAGTTATAGATAGCTCCCATGTGGGTGCTAGGAACTGAACCCATCTCCAGCCTCTCATTTTCTTTCTTTTTAAATTGCGTCTGTGCATATTTTGTGTGTGTGCATGTGCGTGTGTGTGTGTGTGTGTGTGTGTGTGTACAGGCATGTGTGTCATGGCATGTGAGTGAGGGTCAGAGAACAGTTTGTGGGGTTCTTCTCTCTTTCTACCTTTAGGTTGATTCTGGGGAATCCAACTCCAGTGGCCAGACTGTGACACAAGTGTATTTACCACCGATCTACCTTTTGGGCCCCAAGTCCTCATTTTCTTGAGAATTTTTTATTTTTTATTTTTGGTCTTTTGGAGACAGGGTCTCCCTGTAGCCCCAGCTGTCCTGGAACTCACTATGTAGACCAGGCTGGCCTTGAACTCACAGAGATTTGCCTGCCTCTGTCTCCCAAGTGCTGGAACTAAAGGTGTGCACCACCATGCCCGCCCATTTTCTTGAGCATTTTGATATTGCTGCATGGGGCGGTATTTCGGGAAAATGCAATTTCTTTACTTTGTTTTATCTGATCTACAGGATTCTTTTTTTGAGTCAGCTCTTTCTTTTTCTTAGTACTATTATCACCGGTATGGGCTCGATTTCCGGTGCCTGAGGTATCCTGGAATTATTTCTGCAGATTCCCAGCCTGGAGGAGGAACAACTGGTAAGTGCTACCTCTGGTTTTCTTTGAGTGTAAGTTACCTTGTTGCTGGGAGTCTTCTTGGTTGGTAAATTGCCCACCTTAGTTTCCCTTCGTGTATTTCAAAAGAAATTAGGAGCCAGAAATCAGAAACTAGAAAGTAGCTTTATCTGTTGAGCCATCTCACTGGCCACTAGAACGCAGGAGTTTAAAAAATTCTCAGTAACCTAGTGTGACTGTAATACTGAGATAGCCCACACTAGTCAGATCGCTTTGGGAGCCTTCTATTTTTAGCAGTCTAGATCGGTTCTGCGAAGAGGTTCTGCGAAGAGAGTGTTGGAAGGCTGGCCTTAGTCCTGGACTATCGTCATCCTCCTGGCCATGAGAACCCCCAGGCTGGATTCTCTTTCAGATTATGCAGTCCAGATTTTCCATGCTGCAGTCAAGAACAACAGGTTTGAGTGCAACCTCAAAGCCAGCACCAGGCTTCCAATGATGTACATCGACGACTGCCTCAGGGCCACCCTGGAAGTCATGGAGGCCCCCTCAGAGTGTCTCTCTATACGGACCTACAATATCAGTGCTGTGAGCTTCACCCCCGAGGAGTTGGCCCAGGTACTCTGCAAGTACGTGCCTGAGTTCCAGATCACCTACCGTGTGGATCCCCTCCGACAGGCCATAGGTAGGCCATAGACAGGTCCCCACGTGAGCCATCTCATGTTCAAAATTGAGTTTGTGATCCCCTGAGGTTGGAACCCTTGGGGTTGGTGAGTTACAGCTCTTTCCCAGCTTCAAGCCTGGGCTGCAGACCAGCTGCTGTGGGGTCCGTTCTGTAGTAGATGCTTCCAATGTGGGAAACAAATTCTGTGGGAGAAAAGTTCCAGGCTGAGGAGGAAACCCTGCACCATTTCACCATTACAGTTTAACACAGAGCAGGGAGGAATGGAAGCAATCAAGGTGGTGTGCAAATAGCCTTGGGCTTTGTATGCTGTCATTGCCACCTGTGGCCTGCAGAGCCCTTCTGGGTATGAGTGCTCCCTTCCAAAGCTGTGTGAGAATTTAATAACATGAAAACCCTGTAATGTCTTCTGAGAAGGTGACCGTGTGTACTAGCCGCTCTGTTCTTGTCAAAGAGGGAATTTCCCATTATGTACCTTGTTTTACCTTCACATAAAATACTCCCACCCTTTTGCAAATCCAGAACCTGGATAATCCCCTCTCCCATGTCTTTCCCTAGCGGATAGCTGGCCCATGAGCTTGGACGACAGCACTGCTCGGAAGGACTGGGGCTGGAAGCATGATTTTGATCTTCCAGGGTTGGTAAGAACAATGCTCAGCTTCCAGGGTTTCAGCACCAGAGTCGCCCACGCCAACTGAGGGCAGTGTTGGAGTCACTCCCTGCCCTGCGCAGAGCAAGAGGCAGCTGTTGGCACCCTGGGGAACCACGGTACTAAGTCGGAGGACTAATTGAACTGAATTTTGACAATTCATAATGACCTGCTGGGTGGGAACTGGAGTTACTTTCATCATTGTCTTTGCACTGTCTATGCACGTGGCACAGAATGAAGTCCCAAGTCATGGTAGTAGTTATTTCCGGAAATTTGGAACATTTGTATTTAATTAAATTCAATTTAAACATTACTTCTGAAACTATTATTCTCTTGACCAGCACGAAGGATTACATTTTAAGGACTTTCAAAGGTGTACTCCTAATTTAACAGTATTCTTTGCTGTCCAATTAGAACATAAAACATGTACTAGCCCTATGGTTTTCAAGACTTTCATGCTTCTCCTTAAGGATTACTTGCAATTTACTTTCCCTAAGAAGATTGATTTAGAAAGATTAAGTAGCTGGTAAAGGAGGGCCTGGTGCACTTCGGTTCCTCTCCTGCTAGGAAGCTAAGTGGTGTCTATGGAACTTTAACTCCTTGACCTGGTGACATCCACATCCCCAGAGTGCCTGTTTCAAGACATAGGATCCTGGACTTCGCCCTTCAGACTGACCCAGCAAATGCAGGGAGCTGGCTGTGGCCTGCCACTCTTGGACTTGCTCCAAGCAGTTTCGAAAGGTACCCAGGCCAGGCTTTTTCTGGTCTTGGGACTGAGTTTGACTGCAGAAAAGCCTCTGTAGACAACCCCAGCTACCTCAGGAAATGACCAGCAAGGAGAGCTCCCAGTTCCACAGATAAGCCATAGGTCTATTTGATAATGGCTATGTTTATATTATGGGTTAGTGGTGATAAATTATTACACATTTAGAATTTTAAATTCCTAGATTATGACTTGAGTGTTTTGGAGTCATAACTGCATTTGAATCTCTCTTTTTTAAACTGGAGAACTTTTAGATAATTGAGTTTTAATAGTTGCATTAGTATAGTGTTCTAGTTTGTTTCTCCATTGCTGTGACAAAATACTCTGACCAATACTAACTTGGAGAGGAAAGGGTTTATTTTATCTTACATTTCCCAGGTCACAGTTCATTAGGGAGCCCAAGGTAGGAACTCAGGGCAGGAACCTGGAGGCAGGAGCTGGAGCACAGGCCATGGAGGAATGCTGCTTACTGGCTTGCTCCCTGGCCCCTGCTCAGCCTCCTTTCTTATGCAACACAGGCCCACCCGCCCAGGGGTGGCACACCACCCACAGTGGGCTGGGCCCTCCCGCATCATCAACAATCAAGAAGATGCCCCACAGACAGTGCCACAGGCCAGTCCTATGGAGGAATTCCCCAATTGTGGCTCCCTCAACCCAGATGTGTCAAGTTGACACTAAAGCTATCCAGCACATATAGGTTATCCCTCACACACTTAGTGTAATTAAGCTTACATTTATAGATTTTGTTTTCAGAATTCTTTTTTATAGCTTTATTGAGACATAGTTCATACATTATAAAACATTTAAAATTTATAGTTGGTTGGTTTTCAGTATGTTAGGGTTGCATAGTCTTTGTGACAATGTGACTTTAAGCCATTTCAATATCCCAAAGAGAAATCACATCCAGGTTCTCTCCCTCTGTGTCTTTGGATTGTGGGTTCTGAATTTTTTGTATGAGTAGAATGGGTATTTTGTGAAAGGCTCCAGATTTGTTAATCTGCACAATAACGAGATTTCCAGCTTTACATACAGGGTTCATGAATGCTACTTAAATTTCAAATCCACTTTTGACATTAAAATTACTTTTTGTAACTTAACAGGTTAAGAACAATGATCTGGGTGGGACAAGTTTCAAGCTCATGTGTAGTTTTTAAAAAAGATTATTTTATATGTATGAGTGTTTTGCTTGCCAAGTATGTATGTGCACCACATGTGTGCAGTGCCCATGGAGGCCAGAAGAAGGCTTTGGATCCTCTGGAACTGGAATTACGGTTGGTAGCAAGGTGTCATGTAGATGCTGGGAACTAAACCAGGGTCCTCTGGAAGAGCAGCCACAGTGCTCTTAACTGCTGAGCCATCTCTCCAGCTCATGGGTATGATTTTTTTTTTTAAATCTATGTGTATGACAAGGCTAATAGCATGAATGGGTGTGTCTCTCACCCTCTCTACATATGACTATGACCTGATTACATTTTGAATGTGTGTGGATGGTGCTGGGGATAAAATGCAGAGCCTCATGCACACCAGGCAAGTATATCACTGACCTACATCTCTAGCTGCCTCTATCTACTTTCAAGGCTGTATAAATTTCCATTGTCTGTATTGACAGAAATATTTAATAGGTTCCATAATTAAGGACATTTGGACTCTTTGTAGTCCTTGGCTGTTATAAACAATGCTGTAAAAAATAATGTTGCAGCCGGGTGTGGTGGTATGTACCGTGGGAGGTAGAGGCAAGCAAATCTCTGAGTTCGAGGCCAGCCTGATCTACACAGCGTGTTTCCAGCCAGTTGGGGCTACAGGGAGACTCTGTCTCAGACCAAACAAAATATTGTAGCAAGTGCACTTAACTTTAATTGACTGAAAGCCAAAATTACTTTCTGGGACTTTTGAAGGGCAGAGATTTTATATCTAAGTCACTATAATCTCCTTAAAGGGCAGTGTCTTCCTACTGAAATAAGAGCTTACGGAGTGACTATGAAGCACTTACCTAAACAAAGCACCAGTAGTGAGAACTTTTCATTAGATATTTGCCCACATGCTTTCATGAAAGATCTGCATGGAATAGCTATGTTGCACAACTTGCATGTTTCTTAGATTGTGTTCACGGTGGGCAGAAACTGATTGAGGCGTGGACTGGCCTATCATTTTCTGTGCCCTAATTTTGTTAGTACTAAGACTTAAGTTCATGGTTTATGTTCTGTTCACATTAATAAAGACTGTGTAAGCAGAATAAAGAAGCATTGTCAGCATAACAGGATGGCAGAGAAAGACTTTGCCAACCTCCCCTCAAAGACAGGATGTGCCGTGTTGATGAGTGACATGGGATGGAGGTGAAAGGTCAAGAAGAGGACGACTGTGCTCCCAGCACCATTTTGAAAGTGCATTTACTCTTCAAAAATGCGTGCTCGTCTGTCCAGGAGCTGGGTCCATTGCCTCCTATGTTCAGGCACCTGAGCCTTCAGGACCACAGCTGTGAACAGTGCTTGCTGCACTCCTGGCCCTAGTCTAAGTCAGTCAGGGCTTCTTAAGTATTCTCTCTCATGACTCCTTTATTTTAACATGAGCCTGTTGTATATATAAAATAGTCATATCAATCAAACGTTTACTGATAGCCCATCCTAAGGAAATTTATTTAAAACAATTCTTTTGTATACATATGTTTATTATTGATTGAAAATGAAATCAAGTTTGCATACTATTGAGATGGATGTGCCCATTAGTTTTGACATAAATTTTGGGTGGATATTTGATTCTGAAGGACATAGAGCATCTTCAACATTTTTCAGAGTTGGTCAATATTTTGATTTTGTAGTCAGCGCTGCTGAGAATACCTCTTCATGTACAAATTTATGTGGTGACAGAAATATATTTAGAAATTGTGGGAAGTTCTGTTCTAATCCCAAGCCAAAATTCACATAACCATATTTATGAAACTCAAACAGCATTTTTTTTGTCTTTTTGAGACAGGATCTCCCTATAGCTGCAGCTGACCTGGAACTGGCTGTGTAGACCAGGCTGGCCTGATCTCACAGAGATCCATCTGCCTGTGCCTCCCAAGTGCTGGGACTAAAGGCGTGTGCCACCACAGTTGGCTTCAAACAGCAATTTTTAAAAATCAAACATTCTAACACAATCCAATCCAAAGACACTCTGATTTGATACTCACATGGGGAGGAATCATAAGAAGAAGACAGTTAAAGATTTTGTTTTCTGCAGTTAAACCATTGTGTTTCTGTAATTGCAGAAAATGTGGTATGGTCTGTAAAAACGCTGCCATTCCTAATACTGAGCAATCTCAGTTGGAGCCGTGTTCCAGGGCGCCATTAGTTAGCATGGCGGGAAGGCATGCGCAGTGTGTGTGTACATTCAGAAAAAGCCACAGGGAGTCTGTGATATAATAGGGGCCAATGAGTGTTGCCAGAAACACCAGGATTCATTTCATGTTTGATTTTCAATTAGTTTTTGGTTGCCTGTTCAGAAACCTTTCACTACTGTAAAAAATTTGAGAACTTCCACATTCAGTTGCAGATCCACAGAAGCTTGTGGGGGGTTGTTCTGTGTCAGGTCTTAGCACGTCAAGATTCAAGGAAGGAGCCCATAGTAGACTAGTGGCCTGGCAGACGGCAGGTGACCTAATGCCTGTATGTTCTTTGATTAGACTTGAATCTTTGAATGAGTGCTTATCTGGCACACTAGAAACCTCTATTTTCTCTATACAAGTATGAAGGTGTGAGAATATGGTTTTAGAAGTTTCATTTGTGCACACAGGAGACAAAATTAATCCTGCCAGTTATTTTGTCTCAAATTGTATATTTTTTTTCTTGATTAAAAACTATTTTATATGTATGAGTGTTCTACCTGCATGTATGTAGGTATACCATGTGTGTGCAGTGCCCATGGAGGCCAGAAGAGGGTGTTGACTCCCTTTGAGTTGGAGTTACAGATGGTTGTTAGCCGCCATGTGGTTGCTGGGAACTGAACCTGGGTCCTCTGCAATAGCAGCCAGTGGCTTAACCTCTGAGCCATCTCTCCAACCCAAATTACATAATTCTAAGCAGATCCCTTTTTGTCCTGACTCTGCAGCGTGAACTTCCTCCTCAATCTCTTTTAGTCAGGGAATTTGAAATATACTCACACTTCATTTCCTTAATTAAGAAATCAAAAATTTGGTACATTTGAAAAAAATATCTATAAAACATGCAAATTATGAATCATAGGAACAAATGAAACTGCTGGAAACTCCCAACTGTGCTCGGGACTTGCTCACCCCACGCTCCTCTTTGGCTGCCTTATTTTGTGATTTTATGTAGCACAGGTGGTGTATTAATCACTTTTCTGTTGCTATGATAGAAACACTGTCCAAAGCAACTTAAAAAAGGGAGAGTTTATTTGGCTTATGGTTGCAAAGGGGCAAGACTCAGTCCATCACGGAGGGGAGGCGTGGTGGCAGAGGTGGCTGGAAGAGGAACAGAAACTAAGTGCTCACATCTTCAAGCAGGCACAG